TAGGAGACGTGAAAAGAGAAGTCAGGAAACCGATGCGACTACGATTACAAAATTTTAATGGTGCTACAATAAAACACGGACTGCTTTTTCTCAGTGAAGAAAATTCCCAGGAAAGATAGAAAGGTGACTCTTCCGCGGATTTAGCCACACAGTCAGCTCATTCGACAGGTTACAACAGAGCCTGCTGACACAAAAAAATAAAGTTCAATGCCACACAAAAAAAAGAATCGCCTGCGGTGTTCAGATCCATAAGTGCTGTGAGGGCGATACCGCATTTCAGGGCAAATTGATCAAGCCTCAAAGAAACTCCATAAACTGTTGAAGTAGATGGATGGGCTAGCAGTACCAAATCATCCAAACGAAGCGATTGAGACACTTACGGCAAAAGCATCGTCACAAGCCGTAATTTCGGTGTGCAGCTGAGCCAATTTTTCCGCTTGTTCGATGCAATCCTTGACAGCCAACGAATGCGCGGTGCGCAACTGTTCGTGCAGCTCCGATGAATACTGGCGTAAATCGACTCCCGATTCCAACGCCTTTCTCACCACAGCGTCGTCCAACTACAACATACTATAAAAATGAACATTCACGCCGCATTTTACATATAGCTTAATGGACCGAAACATTCCTTTTCAAGCGCAAACTTAATTTAGTTTCGCTGAAATTTTGCTGTTGTTCTTCCCCTCTAATAACAGGTTGGCATTTATTGTTTTTACTTTTATTATTATCTTTATTATTTACTGCAGTTATCATTTTATTATTATTATTATTAATGTTTTTATTACCGTTACCAGTTATCCACTCAAAACGAGTACCACAAAGTTCCATTGAAAATATGTGATATTGAAAATTACCAAAACTACTGATCTGTGTGAATGCACCGTCCTGCTGAGAAATACATATAACGTGAACACCACACAAGTGATTCAATGCTTATGGTTTATAATTTGTAGTTTATTATTATGCGTTTTGTGCTGTGTAACAGCAGCACAAAACGCATATTGTCACGAGGTTGTCTGTGTGTGTTTGTGTGTGTGCGTCTGTGTGTCCGTAGCAACTTGTCCGCAACTTTCAACTAGGAAAAGCTAGGAAGCTGAAAATTTGGGGGAACGTTCCCTACTCAAGTGTGGCCAC